GGGACAAATGGCTGCATCTTGGGGAGTGAAGTAAAGCGAACATTTTCACTTTCTGCTCAATATATGTGACGTTTTTTGCAACGGAAAATGCATGGATTTAGTGAATCATGCAAGCCTGCATAGTAGTTGCGCGCAAACGGCGGAATTATGCGGCGAAAGTGGCGGCGTATTTGAAAACAAATGCTGCCCACGCATAAATATTGCAGACTTTGGCTGATTATGCTTGAATCATGCGGACTTTCGACTAATCGCCCTTTTTTTGTAGACTGACCGGTGGCCCGGTATAACACAAAGGCAAACACGAATAGTATAACAAAAATATAGAAATTAACTTTATCCTCTTTAACTTGTACCTTTCTCCTTCTTCTTTACCACCACAATCAACTGGCTAGGTATGACTGAGACACCTCTTCTGTTTTGGCACCATCCCGATGCTAGGTTTGCTTTGCTGGTTGCTCCTGTCTGTTCAGGGGTAATGAACTTTTGGCCAGGATATCGTGCTTCGAGAAAAACCGACTTATAATTAAAGGGGGTTGACGTCAATGAGAAGCTGCATCTGATTCTTATTAATTGGTTCAGAAGACAGAGACGGGTTTTCACAGTCTCAGGTCTGGTTAAATTGGAGTTTAAAACGTCATATGGTTAAACGCTTGTACACCTAACTGGTTAAAACTGAAACGGACCTCAACCGCTCATCTGATAGCTAACACGGCGGACCAAGTCACAGCGCTGGTTGTCAACCAATCTCTGTATCTAATCACCAAATCCACGATGGATGGGTACTAACAGGGCACAATATCGCTGAATATTAAAACAGGACAGCGTCGGGGTGGCGAGTCTATCAAAGCAGACGTCATTCAGCTTGCATTATCTGGATAACATAATGGCAGCATTTAACCGCACGTTAGCAGTTGAGCGTTTAGATTACATTTGCTGGTTGATTTCAGGAGAAACGTCTTTATCTGGCTGCTCTCTTTTGGTACCCTCTACTTCGTTTCTCCACTATTGTTAGTTCGCCCCTCAGTGGCATTTACTTGTCAGTCGTGTACGCTCGCCTCTCTTCTGGCTTCAACCATCACACTCCCCCCCCTCCCCCCCCCGCCCCCGCCCCCGCCCCCCCCCCCCCCCCCCCGCCCCCCCCCCCGTAATAGCACACAAAAAGGAGTTGCACTGATTTATAAACCAGTGGTTATGAAGGCCATGGTATTCTGATAAGATGAGATGTGTCATTTATTGATCCCCCCAGGAAAATGTGCAGTGCCAGATGAGTAGAGTGTAAAAATACAAAAAGAATAATAAAATAAAAAATATTAATGAAAGGAATGAATTAGGAGAATATAAAAATACTCAAATGATTATAGGGTAGTAGGGTATAATATATGTATTACTGTATACGCCTGTGTACATACTATATATAGGTAGTTATACTAGCGGTAGTACTTTACTTATATTGATGAATAAAGCAGTAATAGCAAACTACGCGTCACCGATAACTATGATTACACAATGTAATTCCTTATAATAGCTTTTGCCTGTCCCCAAATTTGTTGGACAATATATTGTCCCAGAAATAATTGCAATCAATTATATTTTTGTAATTTTAAGACCATTTTATACCACTTGTATACTGATATAACGATACAAATATCCTAGTCAACAAAAATGATCAAGCTCATGTCCCATAAGTCAATTATTGCGACAGACCTGCTATTTCTACTTTAAAAAACTTTATAAAAATATCATGACAGCCATGCACTGCAGTAGAAATCCCATAATGTACAGTAAAATGAATGGGTTAGTGAGTAGCAGTTCGTTTGGGGAAAAAGACGGTATTTTAACATTCTGTTCTCCTCCAGGGTCATACAAGAGGAGCTGAAAGACGTGCCCAGAGAGGACGTCCCACCCCTCACCCCAGTGACTGGTAAAGTAAAGGAGGAGGAGGAGAAGGTGGTGAACCAGCTGGCCAAAATAACCCGCATCATCGGCGACAGGGTCAAAGACGATGCCGAGTTAAAAGAGTGAGTCTCTCAGCCAACTTCTGTTGCATATATGTTATATAAGTGAGTTCCTTAAGACCCTTTTCAATCTTTGAGCATCGTCTCTTGTGTCTCTGTTTCAGTGCGATAGATGGGTTCATTGGTTGCCCCAGCTCCTGCTCTATGTCGGACAGATTTAAGGAAGTGGCAAACAAAGTGTTAGAATCTGGGATCACCTGGGAGAGGATCGCCGTGCTTTTCTACGTCGCCGGCAAGCTGGCTCACAGGGTGGGTTGGCACTCGTGCGCTTTTCTGGTTTTTCTCTGTGCCATGTTTTTGGTCCAGGGACAGATATTTGCAAGATATGCATCAAAAAGTAGGCAATGTCGTATGACTAGCTGCTCTATGAGGAAGGTTGTGTTTGTCAGCTGTAGAGTCTTTAGCACTGTTCTTATGTTTGCATGTCTACTGTCCAAAGCTGTGGATGATACCAATAGAACCGCTCAACTGAGATTTAGGTAGGAGCAAGAGGTTGGTTACAGGTTTAATGGGTACTATCCTGAAAGTGTTTGGTAAAAGGGGATTCTTCCGCATACCAGAGGGGCTGCTAACTAATAGCTATAGTGGAACTAGACGTACAGAGATGATGATTAGACCACTGAGTGGGCCATAGCACACGTTTAGCCTACTTAAGTTAAAGTCACAGTTTAGCCTACGCAGATTGTGTTTATATCAGACCGGATGAAGCAGCTGAGTATCTGCTCTTTGCTGGGTAAAAGTAGTAGCTCAGTACATTTCAGTTTAGAACTTCACAGCACTTCATTTGTGTGTAAACTTGTGTTTTTGTTGGTCTGTGTGTGTGTGTGTGTGTGTGTGTTGTGTGTGTGTGTGTGTGTGTGTGTGTGTGTCCATCAGATGGTGGAGGCCCATATCCCTCAGTCAGTGAGGGACATCCTGAGGTGGACCATGGAGTTTTTCAGGATCAATCTACTGGGCTGGATTCGGGAACATGGAGGATGGGTAGGCTTTCATTTCTTCCATTCCTTCTTTCAGAGCACTTTCCTGTCCCATGATAGTTCTGTGGTCGCAGGAATACTGTAGTAACACTCAGACCTTTGTTTGTGTAGCCCCACAGTGTGAGATCAAACAGCAATGTGTATGACGGCATATTTATTTCATTTTCACAGTGAAATGGATTGTAAAATATATGGTGGGCAGAGTCTGCTCACAGTGATGGATGATATTCTGTATGTCAGTGGGGAATGATGTCAGGTTGAGCAGTAGGGGGAGCTGTTTAACCACCCCACTCCAAGAAATTACCCACAGGGAAGTTGCTCTCATTTTAACAACAGTTACGCAGCTTCCTTCTGTTTAATTGTTGCCCAAAATGAATATAATTCCCTTTAAATTCAACATATTAATGGTGAATTTAGCTTTTTTTCTTCATTATCATTTTAAAGACAATATGTGTTTGTCAGAGAGTACCTGAAACTTGGATTTAGTATCTCCTCCTGACACTGTACAGCTTCATCCACACAGTTTGGCTTACCATTCAAAGGCTTTATTGTCATATACAGAAATAAACAAGTTACCAATGCAATGAAATTCTTCAGCTCACTGTCTCTACCTGGTGCCGATAAATATTCAGTTTAATAAATAAAATACAAAAAGATAAAAATAAATGACTAAAAATGGTTTTGTAGGCAAATATATACAAACATCCACACATTCATATCCACAAACCACTGACGTATCACCACTAACGTACATCCATACAACAACAGTTGTGCTGAAAACAGTATAAAAGTATTTGCAAAAGTACATACAGTAAAAGGATGGTATGTGACAGGCAGAACATAGAATCCTGGGACTTAATATAAGGAGGAGCCATAAGATATTTGCTGGTTATTGACATTTAAAGTAAAGAGCAAACAAGAGCGAGGGAGGAAACTGTGGTCAAGAGCTAGCAAGTGAATGTGAGAAATGAAACTTTTTGCTGCTGGTTTGAAGGTAAATTACGTTCAAAAACAGACTCATCAGCGTCACCGTATTAACTCAGAGAAAACATCAGTCAAGCCACAGAGAACAACAGGATGAAAACCAACTGCATTTCAAACGCCGCTGACTTTTTTTAATCTAATAAACACATTAGAGCCGTTCACTGGTCCAAAATGTTGGACTCTACTGACTCGTAGGAATCCTACCTAAACCCTACATGCATAAACTACTTAATAAGACCCAATGTAAATAGACCCCAGCACAATTAGAACCGATCCACAATCACTTCATATTGGTATCTGCTACAGGCAGAGCATGGGTGAGCTCAATCTGCTATCCCACTGCTCTGCTCGGGCGAGCTAACCCTGTGTCTCGCAGAGAGATTGTGTAGGAAAGTTGCATAATTTCAGTTTTTTCCTCTGATGTCGTGCAGCTTCTCGGCCTCAACTCTCAGGGATCTGTGGACTTTATTAGTTCTACGCTAACTGCTGCTAACAGACTCTGCCCTGGTGCTCTGGCTTCCAGTTCCGGCTAAGTTAGCTGCAGGCTAACGACGTAAAAAAGCAGCTACAGTAAGCGGCTAAAGTGGCTAATAACAAGTAGCCCAGGTTAAAGCAGAGAAGCTGTGTGGTCCCCAGAAACACTCTGCTCTGGAGGGGGCTTATCATTTTTCCAACCAAATTCTTGTCTCACTTGTGGTCTGATGAACAGTAAATTCATCAAATTCAGTGCCCCCACATCGCTACTGTCACGCCATCGAGAGCTCCGTTAAAAGGACACTGTCCCTCAGCGGCCAATCAGAAGAAAGTAGGCTTTTAGGGAGAGAGGGAGCTTAGAGAGACGACTTGTTTCAGACTGAAGATAAACTGACAGATGAAAACCAGTATGAGATAAATAAGCATATTATTGAACCATGAATCATGCAAAGCTACTCTAGTAGAGTCTCAGACTAAGACTGTAGAGCTAGAAATGAGTGTAATATGTCCACTTAAAGTCATAGAAACTCATTACAAAAATAATTTATATGTTTCAAACTATCATTTAGTATTTATAGGTTCCATTTAAAAGTATAAATGTTTCCCATTGTGATGCAACACATGATCTCTCCACAGATCAACAGTTTCTCAGATCTGGCGACGGTGTCCATGCAGAGCGTGTCATCGATGAGCTCTCAGAGCTCTGCCCTCGCCCTCATCTTCATCAGTGGCCTGGCAATAGGAAGCTTCATCAGCTGGAGACTGACCAGACAGTCCTGAGGCGCGCTCACTTACACACACACACACACATGCACACTCACACACACACACACACACACACACACCCCAGACCTGGGTCTCAAATAATTCTAGGCATTTACCAAATCAGCCTTTGAGCCGAGTATGAAATGTTTACCAGAGGGTTTATTATTCAGGGTTGTCATGTAAAGACAACGTGTCTGACAAAGAGGCCGGATGCTGTCACCTCCTGATTACATGTTGCCATGAGATGGTCAAATCGTAAAATGTGCCTGAACCTCAAACACAATCTATTTTTCTACCCTCTCAAATGTTATTTATGCAAACATAAGTGAACGTACTGTATTAGGGAGGAGCCCTCCATACTAAATAATATATTAGTGTAATTATGAGACAGAAAATCTACAAATGCCAATGTGGGCTTTCTTATGGCCTCTTGTTTAACAGCGGTAAACAGGTTCTAACACTGGGTGTGACCATCCTGACGTTGTGTGTTCTTAAAGCTCTACCTGTGTGAAATAGGTACTTGCACATCAGATTTTGGTACCCTTATTTATTAGTGTGTACCGCCACGTATTTTGGTCCACACCCCTAAACACCCGCGTAAGGGCACGGTCACACACATGCAGGGCCATCGCCTGCTAAGGTGAACGCACACAGTCCTTCTTTGCTGTTAGTTGAGGAAGCAATTCAATTTCACATGTGTGACCGTGTATTTTTTCCACAAAGACCCGCCCTATTCTGCCACTGATTGGCTAGTGTTTGTTGCCTTCATTGGTTTGGTTTGGTTTGGTTTGGTTTAGGCATGAGGAGTGAGATGGTTTAGAAAAAATGCCAAGGTCAGAGGCAGAGTAGTGACGGATCTTCACGAAATACGGGTGGGGGAAAAAAATGGGTATGTTTTCATTAGTGTATAATCAGCTGAATATAGGAATCGATGTGTGTTTGTTACTTTAGAATGAGCTGTTTGTATCGACAGACGCTGCGGGTCGCCTTCAATGGATTCGTGTTTCTACAGTAGCCCAGAAAGGACAAACCAAACACTGGATAGAGGTGTTTCACGGCCAATGTAACTTCTCCTGTGTGCTAGGAAGGGGTGGGTGAAGTGAGGGAGTTGCAATCTGCAACTACACTGCCATCCAGGTATATTAATGGTGACCAAAGTACATTTAGCAACCCATTTTAGCATTTTGCAAACAGAGAGAGTTTGGTGTTATGTTAGAAGACATTCAGATAGATATTTTATAAGCACGGACAGTAAACATGTCGATGTCATTTGGTACCGCGTTTGTTTCAAACTGTTTGTGGCTTCACTGCTGTTGTAAAAAACGGAATCCCAGTTGAAAAAATCCAAGAATAACGTGTTGTGTTTTTTAGGCAACCAAACTAAAACATGCTGCTAACGAAAAGTCAACAGCAGATTCTGTCTGTCCCTGTATGATACAGCGAGAGAGACACCGAAAGAAGCAGTACGGGACAAGCTGGTGTGTGTGTGTGCAGTAAGAGACTAAAGTTTAGGTGTGTGTGTGTGTGGGAATGAAGAACTGAAGGGAAAAGCAAGGTTAGCAAATTAAAGTAGTAAATGAATCAACATTAAAATATATATAATTGCAACTCCCCCGCTTTACCCTCCCTTTCCAAATGTGTAGAAGAAACTACGGTGGCTGCGAAACACACGAAAAAAGAGCCAGTGTTTGGTTTGTCTGTTCTGGGCTCCTGTAGAGGAGCCCCTCTAGATGAAATAGTAACAAAAACACCAATATTCTAATTTTCAGGTGATTGTACACTCAAAAATAGATCCTCTTAAATGTTACGCAGTGGACCATTAAGCAGAATTAAAATGGTTAATTAAGAAATAATAATAACCTACTAGAAATTGAAATTGGTCCAAAAAAGCCTGATCAGGGCACCTTTACTGATTATAACCTTGCAGGCTTGTCTAGCTGTTCTGTACATGAATATTCATACACATTTATACTTATTTTCTTTTTTTAAGATATTTTTTTGGCCTTTTTATTGCCTTTATTTTTGTCTGAAGATAGACAAGAAAGGGGGGCAGAGAGAGGGGATGACACGCAGAAAAGGGCCGCAGGTCGGATTCGAACCCTGGGCCACTGCAGCAAGGACTCTGCCTCAGTATGTGGGTCGCCAGCTTTACTGACTGAGCTAACCGGATGCCCTTATACTTATTTTCAAAAGTATTTAACCACAATTATGATCCTTCCAAAATAATTTAGCATTTCTGTATGAGTAAGTCGTACAAGTGTACAAGTTCCACATTTTATAGATTTTTCCGAAGTCAGTTTAGTTTAGACATAAGTCAGTTTCATTTAATAATATAATATCACAAAAAAATACACTTTAATTGGGGAAATGGAAGAAATCTCGGAAGAGCAACAGATGATAGATCCGTCTTCAGGGCTGACAGACATGCAATAGATGTCGCGAATAGACCGACAGGACAACTTTACAGTCCGGACAATCATGGTGACAATATTATATCAGATTGAGACTGAGACCAAGTTGCCTGAAGGGTGAAGGTAACAGGTTGCAGTAATTAAAGAATAAGAAAGTAACTGAAAGTCAAGGAGAAAATTGTGTCAGCACAAGTTTTACACCAGCACAAATAACATGAAGGAACTCGGGGGTCAAATCACGTTTAATGTATTTCCAATATGTTCTTCCATCTAGTTGAGAAATAGTGTATCTGTGTTAATTGTTGCCTGATTAACAAACTGTCATTCCACATTTTATTCTGTATCATGCACTTGGGGAGAGCAGTTTAGTCAGCAATAAGCATTTTGATTACCTATGTGTCATTTCCATTCATATATGACACTAAACTCTGCACATTGGGTACAAACTGCATTTTTATGTGATTTCCACTAACAACAAATTACGTGACATTCTCATCATAATTTGCAGTACCAATGAATTACGCAAAGGTTTTCAAAAGGAAAATAAAAGAACAACAGAGAGTTTTACCCGAAATGATTTAATGTATTTATTGACAGACAAAGCATTAGTTTCCCCTCATCTCTCTGTCATCCACAGTAGTTGAACTTTTTTCTGTCTCATGTGCGTTCCGTTTCTGAAAAGTGCCATACATATATATCATCATCATTTTTCTTTCATATTTTCTTTTTAAACCACATTACTCAGTCTTTGTAAAACTGTGCCTTTTTAAATTGTAAAATCATGGTGTAAATCATGTCTGGAGGAATCTCTACCACTTTGCAATACAAGAGGTACTTTCTGTACATGAAGTGAACGAATATTAAAGCCATGTTTTCTAAGTGTGACTTTGAGCCTTTGTTACCTTTTTAGTGGGTTTGAGTGGTTGCTTTTCACCAAAGATGGAGACAAAAATGAAAAGCGAAAAAAGAAGAAAGATAAAGATTTCCAGTATAAATTGTTAATCTTTCAGTTGGTAATTTCATTTCTGGCACCGATCAGCCATAACATTCCCGGTCTGCAGTGGTCGTTACCTATCAAAAGTGGTCCCAGGAAGGAAAAGCGGTGAACCGGAGGCAGGGTCACGGGCGGCTGAGGTTCACTGATGCACGTGGGGAGTGAAGGCTGGCCCGTGCGGTCCGATCCAACAGACGAGCTACTGTAGCTCAAACTGCTGAAACAGTTAATGCTGGTTCTAAAAGAAAGGTGTCAGAACACACAGTGCATCACATATTGTTGGTATGGGGCTGTATACTATTATGACCACCAGAATGCCCAGGTGGTCATAATGTTATGGCTGATCGGTGTATTTATGTAGCATATATATGGATATTTTTCAGTCCATAACTTTTTACAAGAAAGTCTGAGATGTAGTGAGCAAATATGGATGATTTAATATTGCATAGTTCTGACGATTCATGAAGGATGAATAAAACGGGTTAAATGTGTCAATAATAGGTCTACCTGTAAAATATATGACAGTTTGTGAGCATGTGCTGTCCTGTTTTGTCAAGAAAGGGTCCTGGGAAATGATTTCTCAAAAAGAGTGGGAACCCTGCGTGGATTTCTGTACCAAAGTTCATGGCAATCCCTCCAATTGTAGTTACTTCATCCATCAAAGTGGTGGACAGACTACAGACAGACTAACATTGCCATCCCTAGAGCCGCACTGCTAGCCTGGCTAATAACAACCAGTGACTACTACCCACGTCTGCAGAACAAACTCTCACAGTGTGACATGTAATGACCCTGTAAGATGGCTGTAATTGTACAGTGTGTGGAGGCCTTTGGATGTGAGACTAGAGAAGATTGCAGTTTACAGTCTTTCATTCTCTTATTTCTCTCTGCTTTTTCTCTGTTTTCCTTTTAATAAAACCCCCTCTTCCTTACAAAGCGCATTAGATCAGTCTTAAATGCTCTTTGAACTGAAATAAACTCCAGTCCCCCTCCTTCCTGTCATTTTCCTACATTCCCCGTGCTAAGAATAAGCTCTATCAAGTTCATGTGTGATTTGGCTTAACATAATTATACCCCCACACCGCTACCTCTCTCTTTATCTCTCTCTGTCTCTCTCTCCCGCTCTCACTCGCTCCCTGGTGTCTCCTGTGGTCCTATAAACGGTAGACAATTAGCAGGGAAGGGTAGTTTTATTAATTAGCCAGTAACAAGGGATGAGCAAAAGAGGATTGATTGATGGATGGAAGGATTGTGGAGGAGAGGTGTTGAGCTTGTAGAAAGTAAGATTGTACATTGTTAAGGGGGTTGTGCTGTAATACAGAACACATCAGACTATGGGGCAGGAGTGCTGTAGAATAGACAACATTCAGCTGGATAAAGGGGACTCTCCTGACGTCTTCACGTCACATTGTCTTTGAAGACTCCTGGAGAAGCTTGAAGCTACTACAGGGAGGTTTTAGCTGGTTATGTAACAGTCTCAATTTAATATTAATGCCTCTATGTGACTTACATAAACAAATAAGAGTGAGAAGATTGTATCATCGTATTTGTCGTGTTATTGGATTTCTGCAATATAGAAACACAGTGAGATCGGCCTCGTTCATTTCAATGAGGCCCATGCTTCTCGCAGTAGGGGAGCTGAGCCAAAGGCCTCCATCCAGTAAATCAAATAAATAATAATTTTGTAGCATATCACTTTTTTTAATTCATATTTTTAACATATATGGAAACTGGGCTTGTGTGTGTGATTCCAGTAGTTCTTCTCTTTTTCCTCTCTCTCTGTCTGTCTGTGTTCATTCATTATTAATCCCTCAGCAGTGTCCTGCCCGCCTCCCTGCTCATTTATTATGGCTGTGCAGTAGAAAAACAGTGGTAGGGGCATCCTGTGCTGCGTGCAGGTCTCAGGTGACGTAACGTGCCCTCTGGCAGCCATCTTGGAAATCCACAGCTCTTGAAAACATCAGCCGTGAACAGCTGGTTGCATTTCTTACAGATGTACTATCTCAGCATAAAATCAACATATTTCAGAACCAGAAGGGAAAATAATCAAGAGGACATTGTGAGAATAAATAACTGTTATTGTGTAGTTTTAATTGTAAACACAAGAGGGAGCCCCACTGCACCACACACTTGTGGACTCAACACAGCAGTATGCTGGTAAGCCCTACAGCAGCATATGGCTGCCACATTACCCAGGTTCTCATTGTCATGATATACACTGTAAAACACCATACAGAAATGAAGTAGAAACAACTCATCTTCACCATTTTCATTTTCGGTTAATTCAACTAAAATGTTTTCATCTTCAGACAATTTGAGTAGTTATAAACGTGAATTATTTTGCCTTAAATGATAGTTGTGTTCACATAACTCATTAAATTAAGTATACCTCCCATGCCTTGTTTGAGCATTCAAACTCCTCAGAGACCCTACTTTTTGGAGTTTGAAGAAAACAAACATGATGGAAACTTGCTGTGTGTCTTTAAAGAGGTACTGTGCACTTAAACATGTTTTCTGAGTTGTAGACTAAATTATATGACTAAACTCACCAATGCTGGTGTCAATATTGACATTACTAAATTGATCAAAATATGCATTTCATTGGTTGAAAATGGCTCAACACGACATCTGCTGTTTTAAATCACAGTGAATCTTTGGGGCCAGTGTTGACATAGAGTCGACTGTTTGGGACTACTTTACGTCAATGTTAACTCTGACTACCAGCTGATGACACTCGTAAAAAGTACTGAATACTTGTTTTAGTACACTGCTCAGTCCTAGTACTTGCTGAGTTTTAAATTTGAAACCCTTACACTTCTTAATACTGAAAAAAGTAGGCCTACGGTAATCACTGCAAGGTCACTGGGCACAGCCATATGTTGTCTCTCTACCCGCAGTGGTACAAAGTGCCACCAACAGAAGCAGCCAGAGCTGTAATGTCTGTATGTCAAATGAAGAACTGACTCTTTGAACTGGGAAAATGTAACTAATGTGCCAGTGTGACCAAATAGCTGTTGCATGAACTTCATATCATAAAGCTATCAAACTTATTTTATGTTCAGTGACTTCTTAACTCAATTTTTCAAGTTGAGTTCAGTGTGGGAACATAACTTTTTATGTTTAAGCAGCTAAAAATGGTTTAATTTTTTTACTTGTCACTACTACATACCAAATAATTCAGTTTTTAGAAGAAAGATTTATGACATTTTTGTCGTTAATGCAATATCACTTTATCTTACAAGAATTATTTAAATATAACCACACAAAAAGCTGCAGTCAATGCCTAAAAGGGAAACATTTGAGTCTACATCAGTTTTACAATTTGACATTGTCCTCTCATTTCATTGTTTTTTTCCTCTCCTCTTTATAGGATAAATTAGCACACCCTAAAGTGTCATCTTTGAGAAACAAGAAGCGAGACAAAGAGGAGAGGAGGCAACAAATAAGGGGAACAGGGAGGAAGCGAGGAGGTCAGAGGGGGCACATGGACAGCCAGACGTAGAGAGAGGAGGAGGGAGTGGAGACTGCAGTGTTTTGGTCTCCTGCAGTTCTCGCTTTTGGCCCTTAGATGTCCCCGTGCACCACACTGCAGTATAACAGATCCAAGAACAGAAGGAGAAACTGCACTGCACAGAGTATGTGTGTGTGTGTGTGTGTGTGTATAAGTAAGAGAGAGCAAGAGAGACATTCAGGTACAGGCTCTCTCTCTTTCTGTAGCAACAATGCAGTTTTATGCCCTTGATCTTCCCTCGGTCACTGATGTAATAGGTCGCTTTCTTACTCTTGTGTTGTTAAAGAAATGGTTCAGCATTTTTAGAAATACACTCATTTGCTTTCTTAGCGTGAGACGAGAAGATGGATGTCAATGTCATGTTTCTGTGCTAAGCAACAGCTGGAGTCAGACTAGCCTAGCTTAGCATAAAGACACTGCATAAAAAAAAAAACTGCGTGGAAACGCCTGAAATTCAAAATGTCCATATATGGCAAAATTCTACGTTTTTATGATTGGCTGAGGTAGAAACGTTGGTTTATTGCTACCAAAACAAAATGTGACAGTGCAAGACAATCCACAATCTTTTTTCTTTATTATTTTTGTTTGTTTGTGGCGCCATTTTCATCTGGTTGTGTCCCGGCTGATTGTAAAGGCCCACGAGGGACAGCGACAGTTGCCTATTGTCCGTGGGTGGGCCCTTTTGTGCCTTTCAATTACCACGTTCACCAGTAAATAGTAGCACGAGCAGCATGAAGCAAGAAAGACTCAGTGGACTGTCTATACTCTCAATAGAGAACAGCAGCGAGGAATTTGGACTCGAGCTATGTTGTTAATGACTTTGCTGAGCGAGAAGGCCCGTGGGATAAACTTCTAATGGGTGTGTACAGGTGTCTCTTTGTTATGGAGTGGGATCAGGGATTAAAATTACTTCTCAAATGTTGGAAAATGTGCACGCACTGTAATCTGTTTCGTCTTCTTCAATGGTTTAATGGCACTGGTGGACTCGGGGAGGACAGGGGGGTACCCCCATGTTAGAAAACGTGCAGCCAAAGGATGCCCCTATGGTAGATAAAACATGATAAAGTGCCCTCTGGGTGCCCTTCCTGTGGACAAAATGTGATGAAATGCCCTCTAGGGTGCTAAATCAGGTCTCACACAGTAGAGCCATGAACTTGTTCCCCCATGTCTGGGCCTTTTTCTCGTGCCTGCACGAAGGGGCAAACAGAGCCATGGCAACATGACACGTAATGTGGAGGCTGGTCGAGCTGTGGCAACAGCATGCGTCTCTTTGATTTTTCCTTTTCCTCCTTTTGACAATCTACACACAGGATGGCGTGATCAAAGCAGCACGTTGCTAGCAAATGCTAGCAAAGAATCTTCTACCTG